GAGCCTTTGAATGTTGCTGAAGTCAAAGATTGCCAGTAGATGTTTTGAAAAGGTTGGCAACCATTTTGATTACATTGTTACGATCTTTCAAGTTAATCTTGATTCAAGGTGACTGAACCAACAGGTTCATGCAGTTTTCTTGGCAACATTTTTCAGAAGTGGTTTGCCAGCACCATCTTTCAAGTTGTTTTTCAATTTCTCTCCCCCAAGTTGAGGGAGAGCAAGCTGGCTTTTTTTGACTAAGGAACACCAGAACTTCATCTGGCTTTCTTATTTTGATTATACTGGAAATAAATTTGAAGGAACACAATCCACTAGTATTAGCTTTGTTTAGAATTTCTTGTAACTTTATGAACTTCTGTATGAATTTAAACATTCAATCAATTTTAAAGTATGTATTTTAGGTGACCATTATTTTTCAATTAATTTACAAACTAGAAAAGTAAACATTGTTACATTTATTTATTTTTATTAGGCTTATGTGTCCACCCATCTCATCTAGATAATTCAAAATTAAGCCAGGCTCTATATTCTTTAAAGTGTTTCCTAAAAGAAAAGACTGTTCATCCTGTGCATAAAATTTTTCACTTTCCATTCTTTTGTTTTTTCTTCCAATAGCAAAGGTTTGACCATTGTTTCTGCCATATCTTTTGAGAATAGATGTAAAAAAATAACACAGCTTTGGGTTCAAGTAAGTTTGCTTCTTCAAATGCTGGGATATATATTCTGGCTGTTTGCGCAGGTTTCTAAAATAACATGAATAAAGCATTTTTAAAGAGCTATCTTGAAAGTACTGAAATAGATGTGATTATTGTAATTATTTGGAAAATAATTTTCCTAGGGGATTCTCCTACCCTTGGGCCTTTACAGCATAGCTTTTTCGATAGAACATGTTTGCATTTATTTTCTTCTAATTAAAAATCGATTTCTTTCTAGATATCCACCAGGAATGATGAGTGTTACTCCAGGTGGAATTCCAGCAGCTATGGAAGGTATCATCCCAGGAGGGATTCCAGTTACCCATAATCTTCCAACTGTGGCACACCCTTCTCAAGCTCCATCTCCCAACCAGCCCTCAAAACATGGAGACAACAGGGAACATCCAAATGAGCAATAGCAGACAATTTAAAGCACTCCAATTTGGGACCAAGAGACATTGGAAAAGAAAATGACAAACTGAAAGGAATTTGATACAAAATTTGTTAAGGTTCATTTTGGACAGATGCATCATGATGTTCCAGTGTTAACGACAACAACAGCAACAACAACAACAACAAAAATTAAAAGATGGGAGTCAAGACTTAGGGGAGGGAGGGGGAAACAAGAAGTCATCTGCTTATTGAAGCACTGAAAACTAGGATTTGATAACATTACTGATCAGCTTCTGTTATTTTCATTTAAGTTCCTTCATCTTTACATCAATCACAAGAATAATATATGTATCTTCTATGTTCCCCTTTCGGGGAAAAACAGCTGATGGAAGTATCTATTACTTAGAGCATATCTAACAGCCCTAACAAAGCTTACACGATAATAGAGAGGATGCCATCCTGTGACTTCAGCCCTTTCCTTACTCAGTCACCTGGCTCCTCCTTTTACACCTTGAGGAAAGATGACCCACACACGGGGAGGAAATTTTGCTTGTTACAGTTATCTGTAGCCACTAATTTACTGGAGGGATGCTATTCAAGTTTAATTACAGTTACATAGTTTGGAGAGAGGAAAAGGCCTACGTTAACTTACTGCCTTTTTCACAGAAATTGATGCTTCTCCTACAAGATACACTTAATAAAGTAGCTGTACATTAAATAACACATGTTGATGATGCAAAAAAAGTGTTAAGTCTCACATTTATATTCAAATATATTTTTCTCAGTTTTAAATCCACAGCTATTTTATTGAGTGGAAAAGTCTTGAGCTGGAAAGGATTCAAGAATGTTGCATTTCCTTATGTCTCAGGAAAAAAAAAACACTTTTTATGGTAACTTGTCAGACTGTATGAACAAAACCCACTTTTTTAGACATTGAAGTCTTCTTTTCTTCATGTGGTATTTTATACAAGAACACTTCAAAATGTGTTATTAGATGTGACTGATTTTAACAAATCCTATTAGATTTGTATCAACTAGTTACATGTTATATTCATAGTCTTTTGTGAAACATCACCTTTTTGTTGAAAAAGATGGCTTATTCTGAGCCTTTGTATGGGTACATTCTGTTTCTGTGATAAAAGTTTTAAAAGCTGTCCCAAACAAAACAAAACCAGAACCAATGGCTACCAGAAATGTTTTGTTTTAGTGTATTACCGTTACTGTATTTGTTTATTGTAAAGGTGGACATATAGCGTTCAGTGCAGTTTTCAATAAAAAGTGACAATTTCTATAATTTCAGTTGGACCAGGCCCTCAGTGTTGTTGAACCAATTCTAACTCAGAACATTACAGAATCCACAGGAGTAGATTAAACTTTCATGCTTCATAGACTATTGAAGATTTAGGATAAAACTGAATGGTGACTTTGAATTTCTCAAATGTGCCTCATCCCAGAAGTCAGTATGCCTAGCATTTGAGAATCCTTAGCATTTGGCTGAGAGTTGACAAGGATGATCCTGATTAAACATCATTTGGGACCCCCAGGGCAACATGGAGAAAGGGTTCCTTCTGTATAGTGTTTTCCTCATCACAGCAGAACATAATGTATAGTGGGAGAAATATAATGTGTTTGAATACAAGATACTCCAAGAGTAAAGCATTATAAGCAAAAATACTGTTCTTGTCCTGCATGCAATCTTAGAAGCCCTATTAAGCTTTATGGAACTAACAGAGAGGTAAATGACGTTTGACACTGGTCAGTATCAATCTGCTTTCATGCCAAATGTCCCATGGATTATTAACAGGTACTTTACAACCAGTCTATCATGCTGCTATCAGTATGAGAAGAAAACTTACATTTCGTGAGCCACTAGAGGACCATCCTGAAGAACTGTAGTGATGATTGCAATGACTAAACTACTTTGTGTATGGTAAAACTTGTAATTACTACAGTCAATATTTTAGAAACCTATACTGTGCTATGCTGCAAAGAAGCTTGCCTGTGAAAGGAGAAAAGAAAAACTTGCCACCAGCTCACACACTGCCCTTTTCTTTCCACAGCAAAAGCTTTGGTCTGGGGCAACATACAAAGAAAAAAAAATGGTCAGTATAAATTAAAAAATCACAAGACTAAACCTACAATACAGTGTCACAGGACTTCAGTCATGAAAATATACAAATATTTGTGGCCATTAAGATATATGATACTAAAATTAGCTTGTCAGTGAACTTTTAATGTGATTTGAGTAGGCTTAAAGGGAAGAAAGGGGACATGCACAGAAACTATGGAAGCAGAAATTGAAAACAAATCATTGGTATTACAAAACTTATATTTTGTTTTGAATTGATGGAAAAGCACATTACCAGCTGGAACATATTCAAGGGATTCAACTTCATAAATGTGTCAATGGTCTAACACTGCAAATATGTGTAACTTACCATAGACACCAGAATAGAGCAACCAGGAGAAGAAACATTGATGAATTACAGAGAACATTTTAGGAAATCACACAAATGAAGGTGAAGTAACAAAACATTTACACTGGCATTAGTGAATTTTTAGAAGCTGCTATTATTGGTACTTTGATCTTAAACCAGGAAATAGCATTCCAAATAGGCATAATTAGCATTCATGAAAAATAATACTTGAATAAGCCAATCATATTTGTTATGGAATGTTCTACCATTAGTGAATGTGTTGCATGGAGACATTAATTTTGTATTACTTTCAGATATTAATTTGAAGGCAAAACTCCCCACTTAAAATAAATAGATATTTAGAAGAGACTTGGTGTTGACGTTTGTATACTAGTCACCATGCCTCTAAAAGAATTCATAAAATACTGGTATAATTAAGAAAGCATAATTCACTACAATAGAACATGGCTTTGGGGAAAAATAATTACCATACAAAATGGTGGAGATGGCAAATCATTTTGATGCTAACCATAGAAGTAGTGAGGTTTTTTTTCCCTTTGAAGTAAGACATAGAACAAAATAATTGAACAGGACAAACAATTTAGGTATTTAAAGGTAAAAAAAAATTAAATTCAAAAAATAGAACAGCAAAATAGTTTAATTTGGAGCAGTCTATGAAAAGAAAATCAAACTGAAGTCTGATCTCTAGCTTTAAAGCAGGGATATCATGTCAGAATACCTCCAAATCTGGTTTAAAACAATGTAACCCGTCCAAAAATTTTACATCAAATGAGAGGCCTATGTACTATTGCAATTAGTGTTTCAAGGCACAGCTATAATTGAATTAATAACTGCTGCTGCTGTACTAAGAGCAATTCGAATTATAATCTATAAAACCACTGACTTCTGCTGAGCCTCATAAGGGTGTACTGTGACTATATAATAAATATGTATATTGCTGCTTGTATAGCTGTATAACATGAAAATAAAATGTATATTGCTGATTTTTTTATCCCTAATAGCAGCCAAATGCTTTTATTCAAGAAAATGCCTAAAGCCTTGGTTAAATACAGCTAAACATTTTCTCCTATTAATAGGGCAAACAAAAATAAAATAAGGTTCATATTCAAGGTCATATCTCATTGCTAGAAACTGCGGCTAGAATTGAGAAATAACATAGATTTGGAGCACAACTTGCAACATTTCAATGTTCTTCATTCTACTCAAGCATAATCATCTAATTTATTCTATTAGTTCAGGAACGCAGTAATTTTATAGAAAAGAATGAAGAGCAACCAGAGGACTAAGGTATTAAACTATATCCCTTTTAACTGTCTTTAGGAAAACTTAAAAATAGGAATATATCGAAGCACAACCTGTTGTGATTCTACTGCTCTGTAAATTTATCACAGGTCAATGTGATTAATGTGTAAAACATTAATAAGCTTCTACAAGAATGAAAAAATGTATTGATATGTTTCAACACAGTACCTTGATAAAATGTCATTGTTTATTTGTCAGTAGAATTATGTTGAGAAATTTTTAACTTTCAATTGCTTGAAATGTACCATTTTAAAAAGCAATTAATTCAGAATGGCTCCAATGTTTTTACATCCATTTAAAAAAAAGGTACAGTTTCTGTTCAGATTCTTAAACCAGGATTCCATCTTACAAGAGGTTCCATGTCATCATTTCTACCATCATTGGCCTTTAAAAGTGCTTATCAGGATCTACATCTTGCATACAAAACTATTCAACCTTTAGTGTTCTTACAGTGAGGTTCTGGATTGGGCTGGATCCATTCAATACAGCATAGCTAAGGTAATCAAGTATAATAAAAAGATTTTTTTTTTTACTGGAGAATATATTCTGAACTGACAGTTTCAGGAAGCGTATAAGTTCAGATGTGGCCACAATCAGTCAACATGCACAGAATTCTGAAGGTTACATTTTAAGGAAAAATAGTACACAGGACTTCCCAACAAACTTTAGAATGAAGGCTTTTAAGGAAAACAGTGCTTTCTCACTCAATTTTAATGACCAAGGAATGATCCTCAGTGGAGGCAATTTTAACCTGCATGGGGAAAGGCTTGATAAAATATTAATTTCTATAGTACAACTCACAGCAAGACCCGGTTTGGGCAAAATGCAGTTCAGTTTAACAAACTCCACACAATTGTTTAGCATAAAGTTCACTGGAACAGCATTTTTTTTTTTTACTAGTTTAAGTAGCCTGAAAAAAAGGGGGGGGGGATGGGAGAAACTATTTCAAAGTTGTAATACAAAGTAATAATGGATACTAGAGAAGTCTTTACAGAAAACAGTTCACTTAGTCAAAATTTATCATCCCTTCCATATGTTTTCCCTTTAAAATTTCATTTTATTATACTGTAATGGGCACAATATTAAATTTAACAGAACAATACATTTTTAACACGTATGAGTTACTCTGGATATATGGCATCAACAAAAAAAGAAAGAAAGAAAAGCCACATGATCTGATGATCTGATCTGGGCATTAGCAAGGTTTCATATAAAATGTTATTTCAAGGAAATATGTCAGAATGCTTAAAAAGAGATGCAAAATAATCAAATTTTACTGTAAGTCTCAAAAGGAACAGATATTAATCAACAATGTGCTTTTAAGTGCCCTTATTTAAAAGAATTTCCTTCAATAATTGTAAGATGCTGGTTACACTTTTTTCCTATTTTCAACCTTCTTACACAACCACATGTGGTATAATTAAGGGCAGATGTACAACCGGAAAAATGCTTTCTGTCTTGTAATAAAATTAGGGCTTTGCTTTCTTTGTCTTGTTTACAAATTAGTCCAACCAATATACTTCCTTCTTGCATCTGATGAGTCTCTGAATTCTTCCCATGCCCACTCAAAATCCTACGCAGGTTGTTCCCAGCTACAATTGGGTCACCATGCAACAAGTTGCTAGACTGCTCCAACAGCTGGGGTTGTCACCATACACTATACGCAGCTGGTATCTCTTTTTTTTTCATTCATCATCATCATCTTCATCTTCCTCTCCATCTGAAAGGGATGTACAGGGACGGATTTGTCTATAGCGGTCAAGCCATTTCTCCACCATCTGCGTTACCAGGGGATGGTTACGCCGGCGAGAGCTTTTCTGCATAGCAACCAGGACTCCACCTTCTGTCACACAACAGTCCAGCCATTCCCTAAGCAGCTTCTCTTGCTGTTCCTCATTACCAATCTTTGGAGAAAAAATATAGACAACATGGTCAGTTTAGAACAGTGGTCTTGTGGTTTGGTGGCCCGGCTGGGGTAGGGGAACCCGGCTGTGCAAGCAGCAGGCCAATGCGCATGCGCACAGCTCAATTGCAAGGTGCTTGTGAGAGTTGAGTTGTGTGCATGCGTGTGTGCACCGGCCCACTACTCGTGCAAGTCAAGTTACATGTGTGCCTACCTACTCACCACTCGCACAGCCCGGTTGCAAATAGGCCACAGCCTGGTAGTGGGCCGCAGCCCAGAGGTTGGGGACCCCTGGTTTAGAATACTGCCAACTAAAAGAGACAAGTGATTGTAACACTTGCTGTGGCCAATTCAAAAATCTACTTTTTGGGGTGGGGGGCTTTTATTTTTTCTCATTTAATACTTGAGGAATATCTCTGATGTAACCATAATTATGAAAGCATTTCTTACCTCTTGAGCAGACAGGAAGTGAATGTGCAGCAGCTTCCTTTCACTGTCAACCAATGGTAAAAAAGTAATAGTAACATCATCATCAGTGTTCAAGTTAGCACCAGCACCTCGATTGCCATAGCCATCATTCTCCATGGCAACCAAAGCAGAGAAATGGCCCCTTGTGTAGCCCAGAGCAATAGGGCTCTTCCAACAAAAACTCTGTTCCCATAACAAAGGCAAATATACACCTATGAAAAAAAGAAGGTGCCAAAGATAAATAAGATGAACTTGATGTATTGTTTTTGATGAAGATTTCTAAAGCATGACAATGAACATAAGCCTTTAATATACTTTTCAGTAGCAAGTTGAGTCTCTATTAATTAATGGATATAAAAAGTTGCAAATATATTCTAATAATTGAATCTACTAGTCTTTCTTTTACAACCAGCTGTTTAACAGCCATTTGACACACCTCCCCAGAACTAGTTCTGATCCATTTTCAGAGTTACAAAGCCCATACACATCCATATTGTCACATAATCATATTTTGGACGCTTGGCAACTGATCCCCCTTAATGGCCATTTGCAACATCCTGCAGTCAGATGACCATGACTTTTTTGCCAGTTTCCAGGGTTAACCAAAATGGATTTGCTTAAAAACCATAATAAAAATCGATTATAACTTTGAATCCAGTCACATGAGGCTTCAATTTAGGACCCTAATTCTAGGCTCAATTTCAGCCATAAGCCAAGAACTACCTGAACTATAAATACTATCATATAACCCCCAAAATATTTAGAGTTAGCTCTAAAGGAATTCCCACAGCAACTGAAACAATTCCAACTGAAGTCATACCCTTTTAAAGTATTAACATGTTGCTCAGAATACATCCAAAAGTAGAGACAGTAGCAACATACCAATGTATTTTATCAAAAAAAAAAAAAGAACAACAACCCAACAACAACCCCAATTCTATTGTTTTAACTGCAGCTTCTATAGCACTCCTGTTATGTATCTTCACTTTCCCAGAAATCTAAGAAGATACCTGAGCTTGTCCTGGGACTTTTCATGTCTTTTCAATTTAAATTTCATAAGGTGAAAGAGGATCCTAAAGAGCTGCCATATTAGCATAAAGCAGTGGTTCTCAACCTGTGGATCGGGACCCCATTTGGGGTCAAACAACCATTTCACGGGGGTCGCCAAACATTTTTTTCCCCTTTTCCTTAGCTGTGCTACTCCCTTTTATTCTATTGGCTTTTGAAAGCCAATAGAATAGACTCTCTTGAATAGAGTCTAATTCTATTGGCTTTCAAAAGCCAATAGGAATTGTCCAGGCTGTCTCTGCCCTGCTAAGCCGGCCAAAAGTCCCATTCTGCAAACGGTGCTGCACCAGTTGAGTAGTCCTCGACTTACGACCGGTTGAGTAGTCCTTGACTTACGACCAGTTGGGGGTCGCGGCATTAAAAAGGTTGAGAACCACTGGCATAAAGTGATGTTCATCAGACCCACAAATTTTTCTTTGGTGAATCAGATGCCAACGATCAGCTCACAAGATGATTATGAGAGCACAAGCTTCTGCTACTGTCTCATATATCAATCTCTGATTTTGGAAGTAGCATGTAATTATCAAGATTAACAACTGACTGTTTTATCCTCCTAAATTTATCTAAGCCCCATTGTTGTCCCTTCCTTGCACTTACTAGTTTATTAGTGAATGGCATAATGTACTGCAGGAAACAAGATGTTTAAGAAGTTAACAATAACTTAGGTTCTGCTACCAGCAAATGATCCCAGGCAATGGTTGTAATGCATGATGACACAAATGAAGACTTTGTATCATCTCAAATTTAGTAATTTATGTGAAATTGTGATAGAAAAATAAGTGCAAGTGAAATTAGATGTGGCCAAGAATGCACAGACTATTTTCAATATTCAGCAGACATACAATACTTTTATTATTTAGTAGGCTTTAATTTTAAGATGCAGATAACCATAGGCAATTAATTTATGCAAGATCTATTTCAATTCTTGATTTCAGTTAATTCTCTTTAACTCAGCTCAGAAAAACTCCTACACTCAACTCCTTTTTGTAAGGAGTTTGGTTTCTGGCTGGTTATATTCATTTTGTAGTGAATTTTGTGCGAATACATCTAGCTAGTTCTTTTTTAATGTCCACTCATTCAGTGACCATTCAAAGTTACAACAGCACTGAAAGAGAGGTACTTTTGATGAGTCATTGCAGTTGCAGCCACTGTAGTGTCCCTGTGGTCATGTGATCACAATTTGGGCCCTCGGCAACAGTGAGTCACATAATCACCATTTCCACTCTTCATCTCTGGCTTCTAATAAAGTCAGTGGGGAAGCTGGAAGGAGGTTACAAATGGCAATCACATGATTGTGAAACATTGCAACCAGGTGGGATTTGCCTAACAAGAGCAACTAAAAGGGTCAGAACTGCCACTATGGTTACGTGATGCTATGCCTTATGAACACATTGCTTAGTGATGGAATTCCCAATCCCGATTATTGTCGATAGGTGAAGATTACTCACACTTTCAACATTCTAAATGTGTCTAATAACTTAGAAAGAACAATTGTCTCATCTTTAAGACTATTCTATTGAACTTCACAGTGAAGCTTTTCATAAATTAATGAATCCATAATTTGTAATTCTTACTTTAAAAGTTCTAATTATTAAAGATCTAAAATTCCTACTAAACTGAAAGTAATTCTTACATTGCGCTTTTCCTATAAAAAGAGTTTTAAGATGTTATAAATCTTAAATCTAAACATGATAGAAAACTTTCTTTACACTATGTTTTCAGGTTACTACATTATTAAAAAAAGAAGAAGAATGTGTGAAACTTCCCTTAGGGACTTGTAATTTATGTCACAAATTCCTTTAGGCTACCAATCACAATAATAACAAAAGACAATTTATAGATGGTTGTATTCTAAAGATAAATTATAATACTATAATGAGATTTCTGATATTAAATATTATGCTTTCTACATATCATTATGACAAGCATATACCAAATTGAACTCTTGAATTCAGAAGTTACTTATATTTCTACTAACTTCAAAATACTCCAAAGTATTTCTAAATGCTTCTATTGCACTGAATCACAATCAGTATAACCTGCCAATGTATTTTAATGGCAATTTTATTAAAAATTACAATTACAGCAATAAAAACTAATTCAAACTAAAAAATGGAAAAAGAAGGAAAAAGAAGGAAAAAGAAACAAAATTCAAGAAAATTAATAAAAATAGTACTTTAAACATAATAGTAATTAAATTTACTACTTTAAATTTCTTTTAATTACAGATTTTCCCAGTATCTTTTCAACGTTTTACATTAAAATCTTGTTTCTATTATAAATCATACTTACCTTGAAAGCGAGTATATCCTAAAGTTTCTCCCCGGAAACTCTTATAATATTTAACTCCATAAACTATAATTGGTCTTCTAAGAATATGTGCAAGTACAAAAATGTGTGTCTGTTCCAAACTTGCGCCAGGCTGTTTCAAAAACAAATTATTTTTATGTGACACAAAGCAATAACATTAATTTTTGATTTTAGTACAGTACAATAAGACCACCATTTAAATCAGTGGTTCTCAACCTTTTTAATGCCGCGACCCCCCAACCGGTCGTAAGTCGAGGACTACTCAACCGGTCGTAAGTCGAGGACTACTCAACTGGTGCAGCACCGTTTGCAGAATGGGACTTTTGGCGGGCTCAGCAGGGCAGAGACAGCCTGGACAATTCCTATTGGCTTTTGAAAGCCAATAGAATTAGACTCTATTCAAGAGAGTCTATTCTATTGGCTTTCAAAAGCCAATAGAATAAAAGGGAGTAGCACAGCTAAGGAAAAGGGGAAAAAATGGCAGACTGCGTTGTTTGGCGACCCCTGTGAAATGGTCGTTCGACCCCAAATGGGGTCCCGACCCACAGGTTGAGAACCACTGATAACAGACCAAAATAGAGACCAGACTTATCTCTGAAATAACAACGTCTATTAAATTATAGGTAAGCTCTTTGAAAATGGGAAGGGAACTGGTGAGAAGATTTGTGGCAGTAGCAGACCAATGGGACCTGCCCCATTGAGACACTGGGGGCACTGAGAAGATGTGCAATGGGATACAGCAGTTTATTCGACAAGGATTTCTGGAAATCAACAGTGTTTCCTGCTCCCTTGCAGCCAGAGTCCTATTCCTCCTGGTTATATCTATAAAAAGTGAAGGGAGCGGTAGACACGATTGAGGCTATAACATTGAATCTTGCCGTCTTTAATCGACCAGAAGGTCCTATGCATATTTTTACACATGTGCAAAATGGTAGATAGGCATTTTACACTTGTGCAAAATATATTTCAGATTTAACAGTAATTTCGTCTAATAGTCATCCTTCTTGTGAATGGTCTGTTGAGGTTTTACTGTAACTGAAAAGTTCTTAGAAATCAACTTTTTAAATGCTGATTATCAAAACATTTTAATTGTATTCTTAAAGTGTAAATATAATCTGGGAAATCACCATTTAATGAGGCATAAATTACATGAGAAAAACCAAGGCCAGAAAAGCCATTAGTTTGTCTTGGTAATGCTATCCAGTTTATCCAGTTTTAATTATATATATATATATATGCCTCCTATAAAGCTTCCAATTAGAGTAGCCTAGGGAAGACAGGCAAAGTTGCAAAAGAAAAGGGGATAAGAGAACGTATACAAAAGGATATCAGGTTTTTTTCCCTTATGTTAATACACTACATGCAAAATTACTGCATATTACCTAATATAATGACTAGAGAAGCAATTTTAATGTTATGGTGAAATTTGACTTAGCACACTTTAAAACCTTAAAGTATTACTCTCAGATATTACAGTGAAGTGATGTGAATTCTTATCATCATTTATTCATGTTACATTTTGTAGGCTTACTCTCAGTGTACAAAATTATATTTAATTACAGTTAAGCATATGGTGCTCACTATTAACTTCTGAGTTATGCACATTATTCATTAAAAAAAATTTTGTTATCTGTCTAAATATTCCAGCTTTGGGAGAATATATTCTAGTCACAGTAATAATTGTTACAACATCATTAGTGCCTTGATTGTAAATATTACAAGGTGCCCTGCTTCATCCAACTCATCAGTGACAAATCAAGCTACCCATTAAGTTAAAACCTGTTTCATTCCATCTGTCTATACCAGGGGTAGGCAACTTCGGCTCTTTTATAGACTCATGGACTTCAACCCCCAGAATTTCTGAGTCAGCTGTGCTGTGCTGTGCTGACTCAGGAATTCTGGGAGTTGAAGTCCATGAGTCATAAAAGAGCCGAGGTTGCCTACCCCTGGTCTATAGATATAAGTAGTCCTTGATGTACAATCATATGTTCAGTGACTATTCAAAGTTATGACAATGCTAAATGAATGGTTATAACCTGTCCTTGGAGTTCCAGCCACCCCAGACTTCTGAAGTTACATGATTGCAACTAGGGCGATGGCAACCAATTTGCACTTATGACCAGTTGCAGCCCTATGATCATTTGCAACTTTCACTCTGGCTTCCCCAAAAAGGCTAATGAGGAAGGAGCCAGGAAAAATCACAAGTCACTGGGGCAAGTCTCCTAGGGTGATGGAATGTGTCTACAAAGGGGAAGCTGGTGTGATGGGCTACAGTGAAGTAGCAGTTTCCCAAGAAGGAAGGAGCACATTCTGTATGTGAGACAACATAGCCCAGGGGTAGATCAGAAAAAGAGGAAGAGATTTAGGATAGTCGCTCCTTAGAATCTCCCAGGATATATCCCTTAGGGTTAGAGAAGTATAGATGTAGTTTGGCAACATTTTAACTATATGGTATAAGCAAATAAAGAACTGAGCTTTGGCGGATTGTTCTATATATAATTCTTGGGCTAGGCCTGCCATCCATCTTGCCACACATACTGATACAAGCCTCAATGTAACTCTCATTCTCCCTTTAAAGAGAAGATGATTTCTCTTTTGGTTTCTGAAAACTAAGGAGACTAGGGAACTTCAGTTTCAATCAACAATAAGCATATTTATGTATGAAACAGCTAAATAAAGTACATTCATCTGAACAAAAGTTAGAAAGCACTTATATAATCACCATTCACAATACTAATAGAGATGCAACACTCTCCAGCTTTTTAAACCAACTTGGAATACTGCTCTCAAACCCTAGTAAACAAGCAACAAGAACTGTGTTGTTTAACTGGTATCCTAAGCACAGAAAATCAAGCAGGATGTCAGCTGGAATGATTACGGTAACGATGTTGACATTATTATAAAATAATTACACATTACAATTTACATTATGCAATTTAGATCCATAGAACCAGAGCAGAAATTCAAAATGCTGGGTGAGTACAGGAAGTATGCATGCCTTTTAGACAACCAAGAATGTTACATATACACACAGAAAGCTACAATCATATTGATCTAAAAGAATGCAATCCTCTTTTCCCCAAAATATTGGTGGGGGGGAGAAAAATACAACAGCAGAAGCATGTTGTTGAAAGCAGATGAATAGGCAGGAAATATAAATAAATAAAGCATGAAATGGAGGCAGCAGGCGGAGGAATTTTTCAGGGGGACATATTGACAAGCATACTAGTCCTGCCTTCCCTGACGCCCTCCACATGCAGTGAGTGAGGATATCTGCAGTGGAGAGCCTCCTCTACCCATGGAGATTCTCTACATGAAGATTCAGAAAAATCTTTAATCTTCAGAGAGTCTCTAGGGACAGAAGTCTCTCCACTGCAGACCCTTATCCTCTACACATGGAAGGGAATGGAAGGGAATGAGAAGAGAATGAGGTAGCATGCTGATTGAACAGGACTAGAAATTTTAAAAATACTCACCTGGGAATAAGAGCCAATGAACTAAATGGGATTTTCTACAGAGTAAGCATGCATAGATTTCCATGTGCTTGCAGCCCAGCACAAAGACCTCTATCAACCTGTTTCCTTGTTGCAAACAGAAGGGAAAAAAAACACAACTCAATACCCCAAGGATCTCTTCTCCAGTTTGTATCTTAATTACATGGAGTAAGCTGGGCTAAATAGACCCATTTCCAGCATAGTAACAGACTATGCACGTTTACCTGGAGGTAAGAGCAAGTAAACATAATGGGACTTGCTACAAAGTATGTGTGCCCAAACTGAGCTAATGTTTTTGCATTCTTACTGAATGGGTATGACCATGGGGTGAATTATCACCAGTACACCGATGATACCCAACTATGTATCTCTGCACCTGGTGAATTAAGTGATGTGAGGCTTTTAATTTCTTATCCTGGCATCTGGAGACTCTGAGTGTTTGGATAGGGAACAAGAGGTTTCAGCTGAACCTTGGCAAGATTGGAGTGGCTTGGGTTTTGGAGCCCACCAGTTTTACAACTATGCTAATACACAAACTTGGGAGGAGGGTCCTGGATTCACAGTTCCTGTTCAAAGAGCAGGTAGGAGTGATGGCTAGAAGGGCCTTTGCACAGCTTCATGTTGTGTGCCCATTTCTAATTCAGGGTCTCTGCTCACAAGCCTGCCCTGGTCACCTCCCAAATGGATTACTACAGTGAGATCAGCATGGGGCTGTGAGATGGATGGCCATGTAAATTTGATAAAAACAAATTTATCAAACACATAAAGCACACAATAGGACTTGCTACAACATCCTGAGCCATTCTGAGCCAATATTTTTGCAATCTCTTTCTGGTGTGAATGTGGATTACAACATGCATGTGTTACATATTTTACAACATGCATGTAAGAGAAATTAATCTGAAAAAGAATAATTCCTATGGAGTGTGTATATATGTAAATAGGACATCAGCTAATTCACAACTGAGTGCCTTATAATCCATTTAATATTATTTTTCTCTCTCTTCTTGGTGCATGTAGCCTCCGGGTCAGTATGAACTCACCAGGGTATCTCATACCCATATTTGTTTGGGCAGGGGAGGTGGGGAGGAACCTCCAGGCTGATTTAGTGGAAATTGGCAACAATGGCCGACAAGAAAAATGGGAAGTATACTGATTTTTTTTTCTAATGTTTAGTCTGACTTTTATATAAGAGATATCTTCAGGTAGGCATAACTATAATATTATCCAAAGAAAAATCTACGAAGCTTAAAATATTTATTTATGCAGGTTTTCCTAAAGATTACATAGATTATTATAAATGCTCAAAGTTAGCACAGTTCCCAAATTCATCTATAATTAGATTTGCAGGTGTATTCAGAAGAAATTCCCATTCAGTTCAGTGAGATAGTATACATATAGCTTAAAGAAGCTGTGACTATTCAAATTAGTATAATTAAGCCCAATTCTCTATACATAATTTCAATTTTATGTAAAACGTAAAAAAAATCCATTGATGATTTTGGCTGGATAGTGCTTATAACATCTGACGCACTCACAAATACAAGTATCAAATTAAAATACCTATAACAATGTCAGAGGCCTACTAAATGAAAGAGTTTTGAGTCAGGTAATCTAAAATATGCATTACAAAACAGAAATCTACAGAACTTGTTAAGAAAAATGAAAATACATTTCACACCAAAGTTGTCTTTCCCATGTTCCGCTTTTACTTAGTGACATTCTTACCTGACTAGCAAGAGAAAGTATAAATGCCCAGTCTTCCTGCCACTGTTCTTCTCGCAGTGAAAAATGTAAACCAAAGCTTTGAGAATACCATGACTCCCATTCTTTCCATCGGGTATAGAACCTATAAAAAGTACATGTGTAACAGTTTATTTCATCGTGTGTGTGTGTGAGAGAGAGAGAGAGAGAGAGAGAGAGAGAGAGGGAGGGAGGGAGGGGGGAGGAGAGGGAGAGAGAGAGAGAGAGAGAGAGAGAGAGAGAGAGAGAGAGAGAGAGAGAGACCTATGCAAAGGCTTGGATTCATTTGGGAAAACCTGCTTCTGAATATATAGGAGTGCCACGCAGCATCTATCTACACTTATTAAAGCAGTTACATCCATTTTCGGGATTGTGTGAATCATCCTTTCCCATCTGAATCTGAATTATCAATTGATCATTTTTACTGCTTTTGCAACAATCATCACTAATAGATTAGGTGACCTTCCAAAAATAATTGTTGTATGTATATGATCTAATGTCTAAAACTGCAAACACTTAAGTTTTTTTAATTATTTTCTTTTTCCATCAAGTATTGCTTACTACTTTATGGCACATGCTCATACAACAGCTATACATTTTACAAATAACATTTTAACATGAATAGTGAGATGGATGGATGGATGGATGGATGGATGGATGGATGGATGGATGAATGGATGGATGGATGGATAGGAGAGTTACTGTACATAATTGATTAATCTTAACACCATATCAAAATATAAAACAAAAATAAAATACCAAATCTAATTTCAGGGTAAGATAGATAAAAGAAAATACAGCAATAAAATACAAATGTGGAAAATATGAATCGACAGATAAATACATAACCTTTACAGCTTATCCCAATATGTTTGATGTAACAGGCTCAAATGCCTTAACTATAAACTGAGCAGTTCTGTTCACAATCTATAGATTAGAACCCAGAAGGAAATAGGACAGTCATTTAGACACCAATGGACTGTTTTTTCAAATAGGGATGTTAAGTATTTAAGTCTAAGAAGGGCATATAACTGACAATCAAACAAAACATGAGCAATGTCTTCAATTGCTGGGGTACTGCATATACTGGTGATAATACTGATTCTGATTCCACACCTATTTCACAGTGAGCCAGGATAATCTTTCCAACTCATGGTGTCTTCAGGACAACTCCTAGGTTTAGCTTACATGGCCAATACTAAAAGTTCTCTAAATGAAATCCACATGTCTGTAGATAAGGTCAAAGGTACAGAATGCTGTGCTAGTACAAACTTCCCCAGTCACAGCAAAAACATAGACAAGATGTTTAAATAATTATTTCAGATAAATCCCATTGGACCTCAGTTGACTAATTAAATGTCACTTTATATAATATACAGACAAAACTTACTATTTGTATAAATTAGAAGGTTTTCTGACACGAAAGTTTCAATATTTTATGACAGAGTAAGATTGGGAAAGTATGTTGTTACTGCTGTAAAGGACTAGCAAATCTATCTCTCCCAAATCTAAAAGCTTTGGACTTTTGTTTGAAAAAAGTGGAATAAACTATATTTGTAAAATATAGTTATTTGATTGTATAGCAAAACCATTTCTGCTTACCAATGAGAACAATCATGTAAACTGTCATGAAGAGCTTTACGTAGCACCGAATCCTTATCATAAATGCCCCAGGTAGCTTGTAAAACTGAATCAAGCAGGCAATCTCCTGCAGTCCGATTCCAAAGTGCATAAAGTCTACTGTCCAAACGTGTACCCAATTCCAGTGACCAGTTTATAATGGGAGATTCTTCTTCTAGTTCTAAAAAAATAGAAATAATACCCAATCGACCATCTTAAATCCAATGATCAAGACACAAAACCATTTAGCACCTTTTATTATTTTTAGATAAAGCAGACAAATTGCTTGATTTCTTTTTCCATTCTAGTAACACTTGACAGAACTTTCAGCAATCTAATATCACCTCTATAGCAAAATGTCTAAATTTGAGTACTTCAGATTAAGGCTTTTAAGTAAAACTCTCTTAGCTTCAAGGCAATAGTGGGGAGCTTAGCATCTCCAAATTGCCAGAACTGAAGTCCAGCAAGAAAATGTTTCTTGCCTGTTTCTTCTTTGCTCTTGTGATAGTAGCAGGCCTGAGTCCCAGGCGTGCTCAGGAAAAAAGGGAGAAAGTGGGCAGAGTTGAGTGTTTCGAGGTCTCTGATTCTGCCCTGTGATGCAGCCCCCCCCCTTTCCTCATTTCCAGATGATTTGTTATAGCAGCTTCTTTCATTTTTCCCTTCTTTCTTTCCCTCTGCTCTTCAGCCATGGTTATTGGGTCCCCATCCTCATAACCAGGTTTTTGAAGGCATGGAAGCAAAGAATCCGAAGTCCCTTGTCTCTCCTGTCTTCTCTATCTGTAAAGCCCTTAGCCCAAGCATTAAACCTATTTATTGTTCCCACTCTTTTCTGTTTTGGTTTTGTTTGCCAACTTGTTTGATTTAAAGTCATTGAAAATTCAGAAATTTTGGACTGACCTAATAAAAATATTCCTGAATTTTACATTCTTTTTCTTAGGGTCAATTCCTCTACTATCACTTAATGTATTAGTTAACAGGCTTTGTATTATATGATTTTAAGGATATTTGATAAAAACATTGTCCTAAATAAATAAACAGTTGAAACTCCAATACAATTTTAACCTACCTTAAAATTCTTCTATTCTAAGGTTACTTCAAAGAGCAGCAATTGTGGGGGGGGGGGGAAATCAGTTGCCAACTAAATGAATGATTCTCACTTGCTCATTATTTTGCACTACTGTGTGTATTATTGTAACTGCTTTACTTTACTTGTCCTGAAATTTGCCAACCTATCTCTTGATTCCAATATCTAGCTAGTACTCCAGGGAATGAAAAGAGTAAAACTTCAAATGTTACCTATTTTAACTTTCAAATGTTACCTATTTTAAAGAACGAACGTAATTTAGATGAATGGCAAAAAGGTATTAATAAATTTGTTTGGGCAGGGAAAAAACCAAGGGTGAAACTTAAAATAATGCAAGATTTTCGTGAGAGAGGTGGACTCAAGGTACCAAATATGAAATTGTATTATGATGCTGTAGTATTGACATTGATTAGCGACTGGGTGAATTTAACAAATACAGAAATACTTCATTTGGAAGGCTGGGACCTACTTTTTGGATGGCATGCCTACTTAATATTTAATAAAAAAGTGGATTGGGTTTTTAAGTCTCATATTATAAGAAACTCTTTGCTAAGAGTGTGGAGAAAGTATTATAAAAGTGACTTCAAAATACCATTATGGGCTATACCTCGGCATGCCATAGAAGGTATAAGGAAAGGGGTAAATATGGACAAGGTCTCTTACGTACAGTTACTAAGATGGGATGGCCAAGACTGGCAGTTAAAATCTTTGGAAGAATTAACACATGAAAATTTAACTTATTCATGGTTCCAATATAGACAAATAGTGGATAGATGGAAGATGGATTGTAAAACGGGCTGGCTTAGAGAAGATGAAATTTTTTTAAAACAAGTAAGAGATCAAAGGCCAACCCATATTAAGAGAGTTTATGGGGTTTTAGTGGAATTAGATTCAGAACCTGAACTAGTTAAAGATTGTATGATTAAATGGGCACAGAATATTGGTGAAACGATTTCAATGGATACTTGGGAACTTATTTGGATAAGAAATGTTAAATTCACACAAGCGCAAAATTTAAGAGAGAATTTTTATAAGATGTTTTATAGATGGCACCTTGACCCAAAGAAAATGTCCATTATGTACCCTAATCTACAGCCGAAATGCTGGAGATGTGGATATTTGGATGCTACCTATTACCATATTTGGTGGACGTGTAAGCATATAAAAGCTTTTTGGATTAAGATATGGTGGAATATTCAAAGAATTTTTAAAAGGAGGGTAAAATTTACTCCGCAATTATTTTTACTAGGTATTGTTATTGACTGTGATGCTAAGGAGGTTATATTGATGTTAAATTTGATTACAGCCGCTAGGTTGTTAATAGGACAATATTGGAAGAAGGAATCTTTGCCTACTTTACAAGAATGGTTTCATAAAGTTTCGTATTTGGCAGAAATGGCAAAGATTTCGGCTTTCTTAAAGGAGCAATCTCAAGAAAAATTTTTTGCGGTATGGGAAAAATGGATAAATTTTATACAACATAATTTGGATATGGAAAAATATTATTTAGCCTTTTTATAATTTGTAATGATTGTTTTTTCTTTCTTTCTTTCTTCTTTTTCTTTTTTATATATATACATTTTTTACGTATTATTATTCATATATATATATTTTTTTTTATATATATATATGCTTTATTCTTCGTCTACTTTCTTCTTTCTTCTTTCTCTCTCTCTCTTCTTTTCTTATTTCTTTTTTTTCTTTTTTAGTATATATTATTCATTTTAAAGTTTATGTTATGTATATTATTATTATATATATTATTACTGTGATTTTTATTATTATTATTAATTATTTTATAAATTGCAAATGTTATTTTTAAAATATTTGTTAAATAATCCTATATTCAGTTCTGGGAAGTCGGGGGGGGTGGGGTGGTTGGGGAGGGGGGGGTGGATTCTTATTTGTAAAACTTTTGAAAAATTTCAATAAAAAAAAAAAAAAAAAAAGAGTAAAAAACAAAACTGAAAGCCTATCCAAAAGCCATTTTACTTAGTTTTTGTTAAGCAGTTTTGTTGGAAAGACATTAGAATGGTCTTCATAATTTTAAAAGAGGACAATTATAGTTTTACTTATAACTATTCTCAGTATCTATAGCTAACTAACTAACTACCGTAAATGCCGGCATATAAGGTGACTTCCGCGAGCGCTGAAATCGGCGCCAAAGACGGGGGTCGTCTTATACGCCGAGTCGTCTTATACGCCGGAAATACTGGTAGTTTCCGGCGTATAAGATGACATTCTAGGAATGCGGCCCGGCTATAAAGACGGGGGTCGTCTTATACGCCGGGTCGCCTTGTACGCCGGCATTTACGGTAATCAGTTAGTTCTCTTTAGATAGCAAGGAAAACAAACATACCTATCTTTTACATTAAGCCTTACATCATTACATCATTAAAATCATTTTTATTAATTACCAAAGTACAACCATGATGTACAGTTTGACAACTGTAAAGGTCTGAGCCAATCCCAGCACTGTATAAAAAGAAATTGTCTCCAAATTAATCAAGTTTCTATGTTTTTGTCAGTAAAATACAAATAAATCCTAATATGTATAACCAACCATTTTTTCTACTTCGATTCTACTTGTCACTTTCAGAAAACTATGACATTTTGGGGAAATTTACTGAATTATACTGCCACCTATACCCTTCTGATAATACATCAAAGAAAAGAACATCAATTTATTACCGTCACTACATATGCAATTTACCTTTTTGAACATCCCTATCAAGTACTTCATCGAAAAGCTTCTCTTGAACTGTTGGCGGCAAATCTTCAATATCTATAAAGGAAGACATTTGATTATTACACATCTGACCGTAACAATTCACTTAAATGTACAACTTTCTCTACTTTAAAACCTGTTTCGCACAATATGATGAACACTCTTCAGAACCAGCTCTTCAGAACATAATCATTTTTTTCATGCAGTTCTTTTTCTTTCATATCTAAACTCATCAAGTGATACTTGAGGTATCAATGCAATAGTTCCCAACACATATATAAATTTTTATTGTGAACTAACACCAAATAACACAACTATTTTCTGCTGGCCCTACTTACATTTTAAAATGCAACTTGAAAAAGACTGTTGTTTTTTTACTGCTATAAAAAGATAGTACCTTGATTGTTCCTTTTGGAATGCCAGTTCCAAAACCTAAAAAATTACTTCTCCATAGACTTAAAATATTTCTTGCTAAATCTACTCAGGCTATATATTTACTAAATAACATAGTGTACTACGGAATTTGATAATGCAGGTTTCTTGTATGAATCTATATACAAATGTTATTTGTTAAAAGTGAAAAATATACGTCCTTAAAATGTAAGCTGCAATTATAATAGTTATGCATTATAAAATAACTCAAAACTTTTCCATTTGTCCTACCTGAATTCATGTTATCCATTAAATAGTAAACATATTTATGCATTTCAATTATATGTTAGACAACCAATATATACAGCAGGAATTTGATCAGAGTAAACTAATTAAAAACTATTTTTAGTTTATATGATTTCCATGAAACAGTAACATATTTGTGCAGTAAACATAATAAATAACATAATTGGAGCTTCTAGATAAAATGAGTTTAGGAAAGTAGGCTTGAAAATTCTATTAAGACATTCAGTAGAAAAGGCTTCTTATTAATTCAAATAACATTATCCTTGCTCTCTTTCCTGGCCCACCCGACTTAGCAAAAGAGATGCACCAAAAATAATTATTTTTACTTAGTAGTATAGCCAAATTGTTTTGCATACTCCAATGAATCAGAACAAATTAAGTATAGTTGTAAAATTGAAGAGGTATTCTGCTTTCAAAGCCTCTTCCAAATACTCTTTTGCAACAAAAATATATGATAACTCAAATATAATGAGTTTATATTGATGAAATTAATTTTAGAAATAATCTGAAAACACAAAAATAAAATGCTTGCTATAGTCATAGTACAGGTTACAAATAGAATGCCTATTTAAGCTCTGTTGAACTGGAAAAAAAATTAAGCTCCTGAGAGTGGGCTTGCCATGGAGTACCTGAAAAAAAAGCTCCAAATGAAAATTGTTCTCATGTCAATTTACATGGAATAACAGACAAGAATATTGGAACTCCAATGAAGAGCAGGATTAAGAAACAACTGATAGAAGAGGATGCATGAGGGAGGGGGCATGTTTCTAACTAATTGTACAGATATATTTTATATGTTATACCTTGAGTTGTCAGTGCATTATATGTACTGTACTTCCTAGTCAATGGGATACAGACAAAAAAAATGCTAGCTTGCAAAATAATTAGATTAGAAAGCATGACATACACTGTGGATTTATTTGTTGATTTAAATTATTTATATGATCTTCCATCTTCACCATAGTGACTCTGGGTAGTATACAAGCACTAAAGCAACAACTCCAGCCAATGACCATGATGCTCAAAGTAAAACAATACATTTTAATTGTGAAAAGCTAAATCAGCAGCAGAGCTCACCTAACTTCCTGGCCCAAATGCCTGGGGAAACAGCCAGTTCTTCAGAGTCTTATGAAGGACTAACATGGTTGGGACCATTCAGATGTCTATGGCAGGTGTCCCCAACCCCCGGTCTATGGACCAGTACCAGGCCGTGGCATGCCAGCAACCGGTCCACACAAACAAGCAAAGCCCCTTCTGCGGGATGCAAGCAGCACACAAAACCACACCCCTTCCAGTCAGCGGAAAAACCTCTCTCCACATAATCGGTCCCTGGTCTAGAGATTGTTGTTCCATAGAACAAGAACTGCCGCAGAAAAGGTACAACTCTCAAGTCCAAAAGATGACATTGTTTAATACAGGGGACCTAGAGCACACCCTCTCTGCTAAATCTAGTGAGCCAAGTTGAAACAATGGAAGAGAGGCAGATATATAGATAATCTGGGATTGTTAGGATGGTGGTTAAACCTCTTTGAGAGTTTTTTTTAATCCTTTTGTTCTTTTTGTTTTATGAGGTTGATCTTTCAGATGGTTATATTCCCCTTTCTTGGATATATATTGTTTTCTTTTTAATTCTTTAATTGTAAGCTGTCCAGAGACATTATGGAGTAGGTCTGCCTAAAAATTTAAATGTTTTGGGCTCTGGTTGCATTTGCAGAAAACTGACCAAATAAATCCACACTGACTGATAATGCTACATGGAAATACAGGTAACACTGGCTGGGAACTTTTTTTTTTCCTCAGCCTTGTCAACAGCTAGCCCAAGGAAAATCTGGGCAAAACTAAGACTAATGAGGAGGGATTTCCTCCCTAGATGTAAGACTAAGCCCTGCTTTCCATCTAAAAAGTTAACCTTTTTCTGATAGGTCCACCTTCAGTAACTGAGAATTGACTGGAATTATGCCCCTACCATAAGCAAGGAATGCTGCAAGTAACATGATTATGAGTAGAACTAATCTATTATTTTTTTGTATTATTAAACACTGTTGTGTGACTCCTAGGTTGACAAAGCTATGGTGGGTACCTTTATATTCATAGGACCATTTATTGATGTGAAGGACTTGGGGAGAGAAGACTCTGCATGTAAAAACAGGTGATCCTTATTTAACAAACTTCCATTCATGTTTCAGTTACAACCAGTCCCTGAAATTCTGGCTACCACACCACTCCAGAAGTCATACAATGTGATTTGCCACCTTCCCTGCCATCTTGCCACAAGCACAATCAATGGGAAAGCCAGGAGGAGGTCAGAAATCATGATCAGAATCCCTGCAGACCTTGCTTAAAAATGACAATTGTAGACTGCCAGAATTGCTGTCGCTAAGCAGTGTGATCACATGACATTGTGCTTTATGACTGCACTGCTTAGTGATGGAAATTCTGGTCCCAATTACTACCGTTAAGCAAGAACCACCGGTATTAATCTTCCAACAAAATTAATGGAATGTCAATGTATGGAAAGAAGATCTGGAAGCTACATGTGACAGAGTGAAAACAAATTACGATATACCCAAAATATGTACAGTTAAACAATTATAAATTTAAAAAGGGAGCTTGGTAAGAATGAAGAGAAACTGATTGTGAATGAGGGGGGAAAGTATTCATCAGCCAATAACAAAGCACAGATATTTCAGATATTATCCCAACAAGTATCAGAATTTGAAACAGATTGAAACACTTGCATAATCTATTTACTAATAATTCTAATCAAACATTAAAATATCACCAAAGAAATTTAATTTTTTTCTGAATTCTATTATAAATGGTATTAGTTAACCTTGTTTGGTATCTTCACATGAAAAAAATGGTTAATGAAACTTCTACCATAACGCCCACAGGAAAAAAATTAGAAGTTGGCACTTTTATACAGTCTTTAAACCAGTTAAAGTACAAATTAATAGCATCTCGTAATTACCAGCAGGTAACGTAAACGTAACAAGGTCAGTTAGGAAATAGCAAGCAAAATCTCCCTTCCGTTGATGAAGAGATGCAGCAATTTCACGCCGGATTTGTTCAGTAAGCTCTGGGCACACCATAGCAGGAATGCACTTAGCTGCATGCTGGGACACCTGTAAGATGATATTTAATTACTTTATTTGCTTTAAAAGATAAAAGTATTACATATACATAAATATACATCATGTGATTTCTATTTCTACAGACACTTTTCAGTCAACTCAGAAACAAGAATCAACAAGATACAGTACATTATTGAAGTGTTGAGGTAGGAACAATTAAGAGACAATCCCACCTAGTCCTCTCCCCCTTCCCTCCCTCCTCATTTTTTAACTATCACTTTATTTTAGTTGTGGTTTCCATTTTTATTGTTTTAGAAATATTTATCTTTTAGGATTTTAATGTTTTAGTGCTGTAAGCACAGAGTTGTTTCAATACAAGATGGGCAGCAAATAAATGTAATAAATAAATTTATGTTCAAATTTCCACTCTGGTATAAAGGTTACTAGCTTATCATGGACTAGTTTAACCTTCTGTTAAACATAATGAACAGAATTGGTGGAGATAAATGCAGAAAGAATGCAAGCACTTCTGTAATCCAAGGGTGGCTCATTTCACTGTGTGTGTGTGTGTGTGTGTGTGTGTGTGTGTGTGTGTGTGTACGTGTGTGTGTGTGTGTGTGTGTGTGTGTGTGTGTGTGTGTGTGTGTGTGTGTGTGTGTGTGTATATATATATATATATATATATATATATATATATATATATATATATATATATATAAAAAATCCAAGCTGCACAAAGCAGAATCAACTTCAGAACTTTATCTGAGCTTTCTCTAGTTTGATTGCACAAGCCCATAACAGGAAGTTATACCACAAAGTTTGAAAACCTTTGTGATATATAAATTAAAAATTAATTATTAAACATTATTTTACCAAGCCCTAATATCACGACAACCATTTATTTCATTCATTTGGTGGTGATAGTCTCACAAATTAATTTGATTTGAAAGTCATAGTTATGCAAAAATTCGAGAATCACTATTGTGTTCTATGAGATAATAAAATTTTGATGTTTCAATAATGCTTAAACACTACTTTGAGAGACAATGCTGAACAGTAATTAAATAACGGAGTACACTAGAAATAAATAAAATTATCTGTGTCAGCCTTACTTGGCCCAAATAGGTATACAGTAGTCCTCAATTTACGACTGGTCTCTTAAAGACCATTAAAATTACGATGGGCCCAGAAGGGCTATACAAGCACTTTTTGCCGTCATAAATGTCACTTCCATCCCTCCAGTGGTCATGTGACCACATTTTGGGAGCATGCCTAATATTAAGGCATCTAAGAAATCTTTTTGTTTCCCAAAGTTCCCAAATGGCACAATATTGAGAGATATGTATTTTCTACAGTGTTATTACATGGTCTGCAGAAATCCTTTGAGAGATTTTTTTTTTCTTTAAAAGATAGAAAAGCACATTCAAAGCACCTCTTTTTAGACCCAGGCTGCTGCTTAAAAAGTAACTCTTGGTTGTCTCTGAATTCAGGTACATGCACAACCACTTTAATTCATTTTTTGCCCTTCTTCATCCTTTGCAAAGAATTTCCACTTCCCTAGAGTGCATTAGAGTTCCCATTAGCTCCATGTGGAAGAAAATTAGTCACAAAAGATCAGCACTTTTTCTGATTCAGAAAATTAACTATATTACAAATTAAATGAAAAATTGTGCTAATCAAAGAAAATTGTGTTCTTAGTCTAATTTTTTAAGGAGCTCACTCTGAACTTTTAACCAATACTGGCACCCAGATTCATTTAGTCCGGTGAATTAACTAATGAGCAGTAATGAAAACTCACCTCTGTAAGCAGAACTGCTAACATATCTTGTCTCTGAAAACGTATTGCAAGGTGAACTAGTGTGTATCCCACATCAAAAGCAGAAGGCCGATTTAACAAGCGTACTTCATCTGCAGTAAGTTGCCGTGCAATATCTCCTCCTGATGATTTATAAGCTTCAATAGCAGCTAGATCTCCTTCTACTACCCCTGGAGACATGGAAAATGTATCAGAAATTTTATTTTTTATTTTTTTAAATTTCTAATTAGAATTTTATTTTCAGATTCTCGGAATCCTATTTAGGGAGTAAATGTAGTTGTAATTAAAGGAAAGCTTCACTGATAACAGATAACATGCACAAAGTGCTGCAATAAGATTTTTCCCTACATTGTCTCTGAAAGTGTAGGTCAATTTGTGTGTGTGTGTGTTTCAATTTCATCTAAACATGATAGTTTAAGAATAAATCCACTTATACATACTACATGACTACTGTGAAAAGAACTTAAACATTATGTATTAAAAATTGTTTCTTAATAACAAATCTGCCTGTACTAACAATATGTCAACTAAGAAAGTATTTGAAATTGACTTTAGAAGCACTCTGCTGGATTATCCAACCCTCATCATACTTATTTAAATGAGTTAATATGAAATCCTGTATCAACTTGCCTAGGGAGATTTCACAACCGCCTGCATGTAGCTTGAATATGGCTAAATTGACCATGATGTCATATAATGTACTGAATTCTTGTCAATCATAGTATACAACCTGTTAAGAAGGGTTTTTTTTAATCCTATTCATATTCCAAAATAAAACCCACATTGCCCTCCATTTCATCCTCTCCACATTTTGATGAACTTATATTGGAATGAAAGCATTTGATGGGTCCAAGATTACATACTAAATTTAATGATTAAATGGCGATGGAACTTGTCAGAAACAACTAGATCACAATAAGAAAATTGCCACTTTCCTGAATTCTCCTCTGCAAAAATAAAGATTTAGCAAGAGACACGACAGCTAAATATCAGGGATTTGGATTACTGAGCATGAGGTTAGACTTAAAAGCTGAAATGTTCCATTCTAACTCAATGATTCCAAAATCCAGGTCGCATGTCTTAGTACTACATATTGACTGAAGGTATAAAAATATGCCATTTCAAAATATGAGTTTAGAAAAACAATCATCCTGTATTACAAGAAGCCGACTGATACAAAAGTGATGCGTTACCTGGAAAAAGATATCAACTTGTCATAGCTTTGTCTCACAAAGGATGCATCCATAAAAACAAAATATCAAGACGGAGGAAAAACTAAGAAAAAAATGCTATTTAAGCAATGACTTATGAATGGAAGATACTTCTTGATTAACTATTTGAGAAGTGCTAAGTTATGAATAAGACAGTAAATGAGTGGATTTTATTACAGATTCATTTTAATATAATCCCCAAGATTCCAAGAGTATAGTAAACTGTTTAAAGAAAGAATAGATTTGATCTTTATTTAGGTTATTTTTTTAAGTCTTGTTCATTTTTTTTAATGGGAATAGACTTCAAGAAATCAAAAATTCTGGTTCAAGGGAAATGAGATTCTTCTTTTCCCACAGAATAAAATAACTGCTAGAGAGAAGTTCTACTCTAGTATTATAGTAAGATGAAAGAGAAATAAAAGTAAATTGGATTAAGTGCCAAAACGGACAATAAGAAATGAGCAAATTCTTTATGAAAAAAAATACCTTAATGGGAGCTGAAGATATGAATCCTCATTTCCATAGCAAAAATATATAATAGAATGTTGAAGAAGCTGACTACCAAAATTCACCTTTTTTTGCAACTGGACGATCATACTTTGCCTTAGTAAGTATTATAAACAGTTTAAGAGTGTTGGATTTGCAGATTTTGAAAAACCAATACTAATCTTTATTTAAGTCTCTTTTCCCACAGGTTCTCAATAAAAAAAACTATAGATATCACATTCAGCACTAGCTAAGAACCTAAACAAAATATAGTTAACTAAAGATCGTTAATTAATGGCTTCACAGCATGGACAAGGAAGGGAGCAATTATAAGAACAGAGCACCCAGAAAGTTTGCATATATTTGAACTTATTCAGATAATGGCAGAAATACTTCAGTCAGGCCACTGGAAGAACACAGAAGGTAAAGCTCAAGTGGAAAATTATGTGCAGCTGTTTTGTGTCAGGTTAGTAGTATTATTTCTAAAACATTGTGGGAAGCACATATGTTATCCATATCAAAGGCACATATACATTTTAGGCCAGTGATGGTGAACCTTTTAGAGACTAAGTGCCCAAACTGTAACCCAAAATCCACTTATGCATCGTCAGGTGCCGAGTGGGTGTGGCCCATAGGGTGGGCATGGCTGCGGTGCTAACAGCAGACTGGGTGGGACTAAAACGTTCAATCAATCAATTCCAACTTTGCAAGATCTTTTTTTTCCCGCAAGAAGTTGAAATTGACTGATTGATTGAATCTTTTTTTTTTGTACACGGAGGCAGAGGCCTAAAGCGAAAAGGTTTTATAAAACCCAGCTGAAGGCCTTGGACTGGGGCGACGGTGCGCGTGCCCACAGAGAGGGCTCTGAGTGCCGCCTCTGGCACCCGTGCCATAGGTTCGCCACCACTGTTTTAGGCTGTATAAAAGGCTCTCTTTTAATTGCTTAAAACAATTAAAATTGTGTTTTAAAATTGTCTATTTGATAGAGTATGAACCTAACAGAAGATGACCTCTTTATTTGCTAATGAAGTATAACAAAGTTCTTCGCCAATGTACTATCAATGTAGTCCCAGTTATTTACTAACACACATCCACAGTGAAAATGCCCCTATTATTTTCCCTATCCTGTAGCTGGCAGAGTCCATATACTAAAGAAAACCCTATTCAATTCCTTCCTATTCAGTTTCCCAAGCTCAAGGGAAGCTCAGATTGTAGCACCAGATGCTGTTCTGCTCACCATAATAAATTTTACCCAACTGATGTCCAAATAAAAATGATATGAGCAATTCCACTTGCAAAGAAACTTGCAAACTCATCCAACAGTTTGGAAGACATTTAGCCCCATTTATCATTACCTAAAAAGGTTCAAGTCACTCTGAATAGGACTACCAAGTGAGAATCACAGGTTCAATAAAAGTAGAGAAAAGGTGATCTTTTGTTTCTCTTCTTGTTACCATATAGGCTTGAATGTTCAGCTATTTCATTTTGCACATAATTGCTAGATTGCAGAAAATGAAACAAATGTCAATATAGTAATTCCTTGTAAAACATATATAAAGCTGTGTACAATCCATTTTAAAAAATAACCTCTGTTTGGCATAAATGCCAAAAGAGGAAAAGTAATCTTCTAAAGAACAGCAGTTTAACATCTTCATTCAGGCTGGAATGCTAACTTAAATACCCATACAATTTACTCTTGAACCATAACTCACTATACAACTGAAACCCAAGAATCATGACAAAGTGGCAACTAAAACATATGCAGTATTTGCTAAAAAAAGATTTGCTTCAAGAAACATCTGACTCTAAAACTATCCAAATAAAAATCCCTTTCCTTATAACCAATTATGGATTATATTCATAGTAAAATAAATTCCTGCTGGAATAACAGAGAAGAATGGTAGAGAAAACTGGCACAAAAATGCTGGACAAGGCACAAACAAGAATATGGAAATTTGTTTTTACCCTCATGAAATAAAGCAGATTAAGTACGGCACACATTTCTTGTCCTATTTTTTTCCATTTATATACCTACTTCCTTGAACACTAAGGCACTCTCAGAAACTGTGGAAAACCAGTTGCTAAAGGGTGTTAAAATCTATTTCACAAATAATTAATTCAAACATCACTTTCAAAATAATACAATACAAACCTAAATTACATGTTACTCACAGTTACCGGAGTTAAACCTAAGCTGAAAAAGACACCTGAAATATGGAAAAATAACAAAGAAACACTGTTAATCCTTCTTTCCTTCTAATCTTTACCTTTTCCAGCAAAGATTCCTAGCAATTTACTCCCCCTGCTGTTTTTATATTGCATCACTGGATTACATATTATATTTCAGACAATATGAAACTTCTTGCATAAGATGGTAGATCTTGCACAATCCTTGGCCAATTGAACTGAACAAATTCATTAGAGAGATTTAACAGTTCAAAACCTTTATAAGTCTCCTCCTGTTTCAGCAATTTGTCTCTACAACTAACTAGAATAATATTTTTATTAAGGGCATGTAAATCATACTATATGTATGATTGGGTTATTTCAGTCTTCTGTTATAGAATATGATCCTTTTAAAATGTATAGAATTGCAACCAGTTAACATGCAGCACATATAAATTCTGTCCAATACTAAAAGATGTAAAGAAGCATGTATACTGAAGAATTGTATAGTTACGGTTAGAAACAGTAAAGGTAAAATTAGAAGCAGGGAACAAACCAATTCACTCTTTTATCTGCCTCAAATGCTTACTCAAATCATATAATTATTTGTTAGAGCAGTGGTTCTCAACCTGTCGGTCGGGACCCCATTTGGGGTCGAACGACCATTTCACGGGGGTCGCCAAACAAGGCTGTCCGCCATTTTTCCCCCCTTTTCTTTGGCCATGCCCCTGGCACCCGGTGATGTATAAGTGGTTGGGGGTCACCACAACATGGGGAACTTATTATGGGGTCGCGGCATTAGAAAGGTTGAGAACCACTGTGTTAGAGGAAAGCAACTTCCTTAACTTCATACTGCATTTGCATCCTGGAGAGGCAACTCATTATAGGTTTGGTGGTTTGGTTAAAGAAGGGATTATCTAGAATAGAATGCAATGTTACAAAGAAGAATGAAGAACCCATAGATACATATTTGTGTTTATGCAGTGCTTTTTTTGTAAAAAAAAAAAAAGGTGCCGGAACTCACACACATCATACAACCCGCCTTGCCTATCCTACAAGGTTCCATTCAAAAAAGGTGCCGGAACTCAGTTCTGGGCGTTCTATGACAAAAAAAGCCCTGTGTTTATGTACACAAACAGGAACTACTTAGCCAAGCAAAGTACTGAACTGCGCACTAGAAATTTTTTTCCAAGGATATTTGGACAATGTCAGTTTTCTAGGTCATTTGAATCTAGTTTCAGGTTGGTTATAGAACAAAAACTGCTTTGGTCATGTTACTGAACAATCTACACTAAAACCTGAACAAA